CTTGCCTGGAATGAAGTAGATTCTGTCTCATCGTTGTAGGATATACTAAAGATGAACAAGTTCGATCGGTTTGTCTTTAAGCAATATTAGGGCTTACGCGAGACCCACCAATCTATTTGCATTCATTTTTCAGATACCTTACCCATGAGGCAACAATTTGTAGACTATACCGCGATCGACCTTCTCTTAATCTTATCATGACCTGTGACTAGTATTTATGCTTGCTTCAGCCTTTCCAAGATTTTAAACTATATAGGGCTAACGTTTCGGCAAGTTCGCCTTCGTCAGAGCCTGAAAGTCGAAAAAAACATTCAGTCCTTAGACCAGGAGACCCTCCTGACCCGTATACAAGAGGCTTATTTTAATCCAAATCGTTTGAGCGTTAGATCAAGCACGCAGAAACTAAGATCTGCGGACAATGAGCAAGCCACCTCCTCCTTGACCTTGTCGTAATTTGAGGTCATAAAGTTTGAAAACTTGGAAGAGCCGAAGAAAGCATACACAGTAGTCAATTTGTAGATTTATCGTTATGAACGTCCCAACTAGGAAATTGGACACTATTCAGTGGCGAGCTTTTAGATAACCTATGTGAATACGTGCGTTATCTTTCGTTATCTTGTCATTCATCCGCCAATTGACCTTCGTGAAGCCGCGACTGACATGTGGCTCGAGCGGTGACGCGCGTGGGCATCCTTCTAAACTGTCTCGACCTTCTGTCACTTTTTATTTTGTTGCCAATCACAAAACGCATGAAACTGAAAGGTAGGCATATAGAGAGTTCCAAGATTATAAGTTGATTTTTCCTCTGAAGTTAAAGTTCAGAGCAATTTTTTGCACCTCTCATAGTAGGAAGTTGCAAGGAATACCAGGCAGTTGAAAAGACATGTCTTGCTAGTATAACAAAACACCTCATTTTTGTTGCCGTTTAGAAGTTTATCGATTTTCGCAAATCATGATATCTGTGCAGTACTGTGAGAGGACAGAAAGATTTACATTACTTTATAACTAATTTATGTATCGTCTAACTTGGCATGCAATTTTATGGCTGCACAGATGAGCAGAAATCTTGATTCGATTGCGGGGTCATTCACTTTTCGTTGATGAAGCAGAATCATCTCGTGCTTTCATTTGACTCCTCCCACATCCCAAATTCATAGCACCTTTTTCCAATATGGTTGCACAGCCTATTAGTGTAGCTCTCTCCTCAATTCTGAGCTCAGTTCAGATAACTACATCTCCATCTTCTCTTTTTTTACCCCTTGTTTTTTTTGCTTTTCTGTGGAAGAGATTTTATCGGTAGAGCTAATCATATTCTTCGATCCTTAGTATAATTATAAGTGTTACTCTTTAGTTTTGCAAATATGTTATACAAGGAAAAGATTTTATTCCAAATAGCTTGTAATTCCCATGATATAATCATCAATACAGCTGTTTGGTTAAACTGCTGAGTAAACCAATCAAGAAGCACTCACCTGACGGAGGTAGTAGTGCCAGTACTGAATTTCAGTTGTTGTGTATGGTCGGTCCGGTCCGTAGTATTTAAAGTAGGCATTGCCGTTGTCATGCGAGCTCGGTGAAGAAAAGGGAGATTTTTTTGCTAGCAAATGGTTGCAGTTTCTGTTTTATCAGCTGGTAGCTCTCAGATTTCCTCTGCAGCAAGTACTTTTTTGAAGGGTATAGTAAGCTAGCTTAGCTGTGGCTTGCATATGTAACTACCGATTGAACCGGTATGCATTTGCATTTGCTTGACACTAGTTCACCTCTGGAGTTTTAATTTAAACACATCTTTGCGCTATTCCTTGGCAGCTGACGAGATTTTCTTCATTTCCTTGAAGCTAAGGGCTTCCAATTAAGCCATCCAAAGAGTATGTTTTAGAGCATAATTAAGTGTCATGTGGCATCAATAATGTTTTCGAGGAAAGATATTCCATCCTCATCGCGATTGAGAAAAAGTGACCTTCCTCGAAAACATCGATGATGCCACATGCTTGCACTCTTCCGCTACAAGGTGTCATAACTGATAAGCGAAACGGCGCGTTGCTTAATCTAAATAAAAAGAGAGGAAGTTCATAGTCCTTCTCATTGGGTCATTCTCACTTTCTAAAGCCTATCTGAGAGATGACAATTTTTCGCGCAGTCACGGTACTGTTATCTTTTTAGCTTGCTTCGCTACAGTGACGAATCCAGTTAATTAATGGCTCTACCATTTGTTCTGTTGATCGAAAGGGAACGTGGTCTTGCAATCGACGTGACGTCGCGGAGATGTTTCCCGGTCGGTTCGCGTGTGACTGTGCGAGTTTGCGCCCGTCAGATGCTTCTCTACCTGGAAAAAACCCCTGATAATCGATTTAATGGTACACCAATCCGAACATTCTAGTAGTTATTTCTCGGCAAAGAATCCTTAAAGAAATCGTCCCTTAACCCATATCTTTTGGTCTTAGCTACAAGGACCATTCTCTTCAAGCGTTTCGTTTGAAGTCAGGTCTTTTGAGGGACAGGCATTACACAGGTGTGACAAAACCACAGAGGTGATCTCTGCTTCGAAGCCGCTAATATGTCCCATGTGTTCCCATGAGATTACTACTACTAAGATTGCTGTGTGCTCAGCATTAGACAGCACCCCATTTACAAAGTGTCATCGAAAATGGCTCGCCGTCACGTTTGCGCGCGCCCCATGACGACGCGTAACTCCTCCCTCTGCTCGCGCTGTCGCTTCAATTCCCACCAGTTCTGCTGTGAACTATCATTTGGTTACGTTCATCTGAATCGTCTCCAATTCAATGACTTCGAAAAATACTTCAAGAGACAATGCATTGAACTAACTTCACGTGATCGTGGACCATGCTTGTGACATGTCGCAGGTATCGGCCGTTGAGTGCTGTAATAAAGAAGGTAGCTGAATTCACCGGTAAGGTGTTCGTGAACTACCGCATTGTTTTTCGGTTTGAGGTTTCTTTGGTTGTTACAGCGGTATTACTTCCTGGACAGTTACATTTTTTGGTGAAAGTGTAGTTAAAAGGGGGGGGGGGCAAAAATTTTGCCTGTGAAATTCAAACTGGTAGAATTTCTATTGGATATTGCCAAGCAAAGTGAGATAATGTGGGTTGGTTTTTGATCGCAAAGCAGTGCACGGATCATAGAAGCGTGTGTCGAGCGTGTATTTCTCTAACACACGCCATAGCATCACACCTATCGAGACAGCGTATTTGAGATTCGACGAATATCTCTGGAACCATGCTTAGCTCCGTGGAAGCAAAGATTTAATTTTCGCTGTTGTGCAGGTATTGCCTGGGAATTAAGACAGGCCACTTGTTTTCATTAGTTCGCAATGGTTCATTTCATTATAAAGATTGCGAGAGGACCGAAATCTAAATAGTCTTCAAGTGCTAAACATTAGCTCAATTCTTTGGCTGCATTGGAATCAGACTCTGAGCGCGTTCATTTTGGGACTAAAGGCCTGAAATAGGGGGTTCAAGCTAAGTGTAGGCATAATAGGTTCATTCACTTAGACGCATCGGTAGAATAACTAGAAAAAAAGTACCCTAAAATTCCATAGATAAGAGCGGTTGAAACTATCGGTGAAAAATGAATAGAAATGAAATTGAAATTGATGCAGTCTCCCTCTAACTTGATGGATGGATAAATTAAACTCCGAAGAAGAAGTCAAGAAGAAGCTCCGCCTCTTAACTCCAAACCCCGCCCACTTAATAAACAATTCATATAGAAAAATAGCGATCCATTAAAATCGCTGTTTTTCTATATGAATTGTTTACTAAAGTTTAATTTATCCATCGATAAAGTTAGAGGGTGACTACATTCAATTTCAATTTCATTCTAATTCGTTTTTCACCGGTAGTTTCAACCGCTCTTATCTATGGAATTTTAGGGTAATTCATGAACTCTTGAATGTGGTCCGACGTGCAATCAAATGAAATATTCTAGGAACATAACATTTCGTGGGCCAGCCTATAAAACAGCGTCCATGAGGCTGTAATAACGCGAATGAAAATGAAGTGCGCCTCGATAACGAGTGTTGGCAGTTAGGGGAGGTTTTGCGGGTGGACTTTTTACGAAGAAGCGACTGCTCTAACACGAACAAATGACGGCCACAGCGGTTCTGAAGCTTTGGCAGTGCTGAAGCTGTCACCCACTACTCAGGCCTCACAAGAGCTCTTCTTATTTCAACCTCTTTTTTTTCGCTGGGTTTATAAGCCTTCTATAAACTTGCAAGTAGTAAAATGCGATTTCCGGAGGCTCTTTCTTTCCTTCTGTTAGAGATAGTCACATACTGTTAATTTTTTGTTCAGGGGCCTGTTCAACTTTAGTTATGTTAACAATGAAGAATCATAAAATACTGGTCTTTCTTATCATCGAACCTCCTCCTTCAGTTCAGTGTTTCAGTGTGAGCCCGCCAAACGATTGAAGTTCTCAATAATGGTCGTATTATGCAGGGGTCGTACCTAGGAAACAAAACTTGTTCCCTTGACCACTCCAGTGGCATAAAGGCAACTTAATTGTGACAGCCTTCCACTTGTTTTCGTGAATCGCTTCTGAGGATTATTCGCCGTGACGGGTTGAGTGATTATCATCGTCGACGTTACTTATCCGCTTGAAGTATCGGCGAGAGCTAAGTCATCATGTAGACAAATTAGAACAAGGACGAGCGGACGATCTTTTGTGAATTCTTGACCAACTTTATTCGGTTCTTTTTGACCATGAGCGAATATAGAACGAGGACATGTCTTATGGAAAAAAATATAAATGTGTTATCAGGGGGCAGCAGAATAGCATCATGACGTTGTTACTGTCTCCCTTGAACAAAATTAGAAGTATATTGCCTTGCTTATTTCCAAAGTTGACTTACATCACGGTCACTCGTGCTTTCGTAAATGTTATAAAATGCATGCTGGTCAGCTGGTTGACCTTATTAATGGAATGAGTTGCTTGTCTACCAGTCTCACACTTGAGAATTCTTTGATTGATTTTCTAATATAGGAACCATGCCGTGCCGTCCAATAGTGTTGTCAGGACCATCAGGAGGTGGCAAAAGTACGATTCTTACTCGAGCAATGAAGGAATACCCGAACAGCTTTGCGTTCAGCGTATCGCGTGAGTTTCCGGCGTCACTGTACCTTTTCTAGAGTGCACTGAAACTTTGTTGTTTTGAATTTGATTCAGTGATAAGTGCCGTTGAGAATGATGGGCTGATAAGAATAGCATACCAACCTTCGACGAAAGCCTATTGGTTTATGTTTATCTTTTCACGGTTTGAACTCACAATTGATGGGCGATTTTCGTTGGTTTCTTGAATTGCACACATCATGCATTATCGTTTTCCATGTTCATAATAACCCGTGTTGAAGTGTTTTAATTTCTCTGGCTAGTTTGAACAGTTATGATAGGTTGAAATCAGAATCATTCTGGCGGTGGTAATTTTATTTAAATATCATCTGACTGCAGAGTTTATTTTCTTATTTTATTAGTTTTATTTTTCTGACCGCACGCAGCATCGTTTCAGTACCCCTCTGTTGAGATGGACCAAATTAAGATTTGCAGTAGTCCACGGCTTCATCATGAATTAGAGCAAATTCCTTTACTATGGCAATGTACCCCTTCGAGATTAAGAATTCACTTCATAGGTTAACAAGTTACTTGCCGACTTCAAAATAATAATATTTATTACATACAAGAATACATGTAACTAGAGGTGAACATTACGACGCAGTGGCGTTGAAGCATGTTATTTATGAAGCGGAGCCGTGTAAAGCTATTCCATAATGTAGTAAACAAGAAAGGAACAAGGAATAATTATCAAAAAGAAGCAAGTAACCTCACAAAACAAGACTAATGAAAAGTATCTACCAATTTGAGTGAAAGTGTTCGTATATCAACAAGAAAGGGTGGTATATATAACGTTGAAAGGTCTTCAAAAAAATCGACCCACAGTGTGTCAACGACGCCTGTCACCGAACGATGAAGGTAACAATCAGTTGCCGTCTGCAATGTTACAGTCCACAGGGTTTCAGACTGGCTGAGCCTCAGCTACAAGTGCTTCTTTGACGGCTGAATGAAGTTCGATCTTTGCTTATCTTTGGAAGAGTGCTAACAGAACGGTCGTATCATGAAAAAAGCGTTGTGCAATTGCCTCCGTTTTACGGAGTGAAGAGGGCCTGGTGGGGTTTCATCCGATGTGCCGATCAAACCTATTGGATTCAACTTCAACTGAATGAAACATCGTGTGAGAGAATATATAACAAATTTTATTGCGGTACGAGACAAAAGTGGAGTGCGAGGCCAATATAAAACAAATGGGATAAACAGGATAAAAGCTTCGGAAAAAATGGAGCTCATTGGACGCAGCTAAAATAGGCAGGCGCATATAAATATATTTGGAACGGAGGCTAGGTCAATGCAATGAATAGTCCGCAGACCATTGCACTGCGCGATAACACGTATCCTCCGGTGCTCGATGTGCCAATTTAGGATCTCGTAAGGGGCGAGATCATACATCGAGGGTGCATATAAACAGTTGTACTTTTTCATTTTCTAATCATTACATGTTCCTGTCAACATTTTTGTTGAAGAACGATTGTGTATTGATTCAGTAATTTAAGATACTACTCGCAAGCCGAGGAATGGTGAAGAGCACGGTGTACACTATTGGTTCATTGAACACGATGAAATGCAGCGCATGATAGCTAATGGCGAATTTCTCGAACATGCTACATTTGGAGGAAATACTTATGGGACGAGGTCGGTCGTGATCTATTGTTTAAACTTCCTTCTCGTTATCAAACTCCTTGGTGAACGATTCCTTAAACGTATTGGTAGATGGCCTTTCTGTGAGCGGCTTCACTCTTCCTGTCTCTCTTCAAAGCAAAGTCGCCTAAGAGATTGGTTTTACGAGGATAATCTGAGTTTTACTACCCCTACCCTGCCTTGCCTCGGTGCCTTGCTTCATAGGTCGTTGAAGTATCGTGAACTTTTTTTTTCGAGACTCACTCTTCTTTCTCTACTAGCTTTCGAAAGAAAACATTCTACCCCGTCCGGTAATGCGTTTCATTGACGAAGTATGATATGAAAATATTAAGCAAAAAAGCTGTCAACGATGTGGAACAGACGGGAAAGATCTGCGTGCTGGATATCGAACTGCAAGGAGTGCGAAATATCAAGAACTCTCACATTAATGCACGTTTCATTCTGATCCGTCCTCCTACGCTAGAAATCTTGGTGGGCGATATCGTTTTCATTTCCTAACGCCTTTTGAATCGCAGCTTTTGTGCGCTTTCCTTTGTTAGTATTCATTTTGAAGAGGAATATTTTGTGCAAAAATTCAAATGGTAATACTTGGTACTGCCACTTTCCAAAAGCTTTGCTTTGATTTGAAACCATTAAAGCTGCGAACCCTCTTTCTTCACCAAGATGGTTTTCTGTCTCGGATCAGAAACTATAATTATACTTTCGATTGATTGTTTCATGTTGTTGTTTCCGATGTTTACTGGCAAAGAAATGGAAGAGGATTACCTTTGAAAAAGCGCTCAGGCGAAGTTCACGTTTCACGTTGTAGGTAAATGGGTTCGATTCACACGTCTTTGGATTTCATGCCTAACTGAATGAGGATTACTTTAGGAAACGGGAAAGTTTCATATATTGTCGGAGTGCTTACTTCTTGTGTGCTTTGTCTTTTACTTTTCTTAAGAGAATCGCAAAGTAGAGCCGAGTTAGTGGGTGAAGAGAAAACAGTATTCAGTGCAGAAAATTTTCTAGGCTGTTGAAAAACTAATGATGCGAAAATCATAAGTAATAGGAACATTTCTAATCATATGATTGTGCCTAAGACGTTGTGGCTGTTCGTTTGGATTCCATAAATCTGTAGAAATGTAGTAATTTTTTGGGCTGTCCTTATTCGAAATGTTTTTTAAATGTTTTTTATTGACTTGATGGAACAAGCAGTTATGCAACAAGTTAGAACGAATCTACATTGCGTAGGTACTACTTGAACAGTTTTTCATCTTCTGTAGTTTGGTGTTCAGAGCTAGTTAGTCGCACGGATGAAAAAAAAGATCCAGTGTTACCCCAAGACCTAGGCAATTCTCTATATTGTGTTTCCTCTGCAAGGTCTCTCTCTCCAGGAATCCCGTCTTCGTGCGCGTGGAACAGAAAAAGAGGAAGATATCGTTAAGCGTCTGAAACATGCTAGAGAAGATCTCGCTGCAGGTCAACACCCATTTTTGAAAACTGCATTCTTTACTATATGTTCTTAAAATGAAACCAAATTGTTCCAGTTGAGCAGAATCCGGATTTGTTCGACCACGTCATCGTAAATGATGATCTCGAAAGAGCCTATAAGGAGTTCATCCAAGTAATTGAAGAAGACCTTATGTCAATATCGAACTGACCAGGTAAATAAGATTGGCAAATTTCTTATACTTTTAGATTTGCAACTACTTGGAAAATGTAGTAGTTATGTGTATAGAAATAGTTGTTTTTGTGCATGATGACTAAAGAGCAATTGTGGAATTGGACATACATGATAACTTAAAGTATTACGTTGCTGGGTTAACAGATTCGTCAAATGTAGAGATAATGACAAGCTTTTTACATACCTGTCTTCCACTGTTTTTGTCTGTGTGAATTAATTCGTATTATTGTGTGGGAATGTAAAATGGTTAGAACAGTGCGCCCAACACTTTTTAGCGGACGAATCTATATCTTGCAATACTTTTTCATAAATAGGTTCTACTAGAATGGCGTAGCCTAGAAAATCTGCAAAACATTTGTGAATTAGCGATCTACATCTATCTGCTCTAATATATCTGTACTCATTTTATTAGGTTGCACTTGATTGTATTATAATAGTGGAAGGCACTATCTGGTAATTCCTCGAGCTTTACGATTATGTGTGCTCTTTGAGTGGTTTCAATGCTTAAGTGCTGTGATTTGTTTACCGATTTGTAGAAATAGAGTGAATAAATTTTCTTCTAAAAGTGTAAAGGTGATAATGGAGTTTAAGAGACGATAAATATCTGCTATAGGAATTCAGCTATGTTTATTCAACCCTAAAAAGCGCAATTTCTGGGTTTGTCGTGATATACTTTTTGTAATTTGGCTTTGTTAATGCTTCCCTCTGAACTTCAGCTCCTCCAGGGTACGCAGACGACTGAATGAAGAACCACTCGTTGCAAAAGTTTCTGGATTCATCGAAACCACTTAGCAACCGATGATATTATCCGATCGGTGTCAGCTAGTGTAGATCTTCAATCAAAGTCGCTGTGGGACGGCCAATCTTATAAGGCGGTAGCTCCAGTGTAGTTGCGAAGCGTCCTACCTTACAATTGAATTTTGAATGGGTAAATGTATCCAGAGTCACTTGAGGGTTCTACCCATTGACAATTGCGACTTTTGTGTCATAATCTCCATGGTGACCTGAAAAACGCCTCCATCATGCTTTTGTATTCGGTGACTCTAAGAGTAGCAGGCTCTGGAATGGTAGATACCCATACACTACATACTCATACAATTACTTATACATACTGTGTTGGAATTTGTCACATCTTGCGGTGTATCGTCGTCTGAGTAGACGATCTTCATCGTTCGTTGGTCTCACTTCTGAGACTTCATTCCAAGTTAGGAATACCCACGAAANCTTTTGTGAATTCTTGACCAACTTTATTCGGTTCTTTTCTAAGTGTGACCATGAGCGAATATAGAACGAGGACATGTCTTATGNAGGGGGGGGGGGGGGGGGGGGGGGGGTCGAACGGGACCATCAGGAAGCATCGTCCGAATCATACCTCAGACAACACCGAAGGTGAGACGTTGGTTGTAATTTGAGTTTTCATGACAAAAACATTCGCGCTTGACACTTTAGTTGTTGAACTTATACTCCGTCATCACGAAAGACATTGAGAACATCTGAATCCTTCAATTTTGTGAAGAAGCTGTGTAGGAGTCCCGGTGTTGAAAAAAGCTAGAGAAGTTGCGGTGAAGCAACACATCTACGGAAAAAGGAATAGAGCGTGTCTGACAAAAAGTAATAGAGCATGTCTGACGATGGTTGGATCGGAAAGGGAAGGATGTTCACTACAACGTCAGCATAGCGTCCACTAGTCAATCTTTTTTTTCAATTTAATCCCCTTTTTTTCCCAACCGCTCTGCTGTATATGCGTCTTCCTTGACTTTTACCAATGCGATGAATGTGGCTGAACTGGGCAGGTCTCCAAGCGCTAAGATCGGTGAAGGGGGATGGTGAAGGGGATTCGAAGTAACACAAGTTTTCTTTCGTATACAGTGAGCGGCAAAGATATTTAGAAAAACCATCATGATAGCAAAGGTCACAAGGAACACCTGTGATACCAAAAATTACTTCTTTGATCACTCTGAGAATTCTAGAAGCACACATCCTACCTATATGAAGGCAACGTCAGGCGCTACTTTTGAATCAAAGATGATCTTGGTACACGGAGGAATTCAGTTCTTCATGCTAAAGTTGAGAGCGCTCGAGCACTCAACAGTTCTCCACGGAATCACTGGAAGTATACCGCATCAAGCCGTAAATCAACGCAAGGGATGGGAGGCGTGACCTCTTGAGAGTGGTCGAATGATAACCTCTATCGCCTTAGGATGAGAGCGGTGTCAGGTCTTTCTAACAAGTTCTCCACCGACAAGTTCACTCCCACTTCCCCAAGATTGGTTGGTTTTATAGGATTCGATGGGGCTTGTGTAGTAATTGATTATTGGCTGTTTGTTTGCGACGATGTCTAGTAAAGTTAGAGTCTAAAGAAGGCATTATATGCCGAAAGCCAACCAATTACCTGTATTACCTGTTGTCCCGTTGAACGTCGATTTCCTCGAACGGGCGCCAGTAACGGCTCCATTCGTCCGTGTCCCGAGCCAGAGTAGTCTAGTGAATCGTACTCGCTCGAGGGAAAGGGGGTGAAATATGTTTCAGTTCAGAGCTTTCGTGATGAGTCTGACCATCGGGCCACCGGTCGTTCCGGTGTTCGTTTGATGTACTGAGGAATCCAGTCCGTAACCGCCCTGGCCCGACGGTCACCACTCTATTGTATGACGTGCCCAGCCCATTTGACTTTCTATTTTTTGGCGTATTCAACGGTATCCCTGGTCTTCGTTCGTCGACGGAGCTCGGAACTCCGCACTCCCTCCTGCACTTACGTGTATAGGGATATTCCAAGCATTGCCCGTTCCACAGCGCGTTGAATGACGCTAACAGCATGCTCATCCTGCTTTCGTAGATTCTGAGGCGTATGTCAAAGCAGGAATGACCGCAATGTCGAAAAGGTGAGCGTCAAGGCGAATGTTCTTCGTCTTTTTCACTTCTCCCTCGAAGTTCCTAAATGCAACCCACGCTGCGCATTTCCTTCTGCTCAGCTCCGGTGCTAGATCGTTCATCACTTGACTTCGCGACCTAGATATACAAAACTAAAGCATCCAGAGATGTGCGTTCCGTTTAGCGTGAAAGGAGCACCAGGTACCAATCCGCTCCGCATGATCATGAAAATCGCCTTCGTTAGGTTCAGTCGTAATCCGATCTTTCCACAATCGTTGTCGAATTCGGTTACATATTGAGTAGGAACACGCTGGTTGCCCATCGCTCCAATTACCGCTTCTGTCTCGAAGCTTTCAAAGCCTTTCTCCAAATCGATGAACGTAAGGCATAACGGCATATTATACTCCCGCGATACTTCGGTGACTCTTGTAACGGTGTGAATGAATCGACTGTACTAAACCGTCTCCGAAACCTTGCTTGCTCGCATGGCTGTCCTTCGTCTAATATTCTGCCAATCCTGTTAAGGATGACTCGTGTGAAAAGTTTATAGATTACAGACAGCAAGCAAATTGGGTGATAATTGCCAACGTCGTCTAGATCTTCCTTCATATACAACACCACGGTCTTGCTAGTTCTCCACGAAGTGGGCACTTTGCATTTCGACGGGCACCGCATGAAAAGCCGGGCCACGGTTTTGACAATGACTGGCGGAAGGCTCCTTACATGTTCTGCTTTGATCCTGCCGATACCGGGTGCCGTACCGTTCCTCATCGACGTGGTGGCATGTCGAATTTTCGGAAAGAACCGAAGGGACGACGTATCATTCGTGCCTAAAATGGTAGGTAGGCAGGTAGACGTAGCTGTCAAAAAGATGTCACAGATGACCTTCTCCATTGCCTTTCGGAATGCAGTAACAGTTCCGTCACGACGACGATGGGAAGTCGTCTTGGTCTTATAATTGACGAAACTCAGGCGGGCTTTACCAATGCTCTTCCCAGCCTCCAAGGCTTCAGTCAAAACTAATGCTCTTCCTCTTTTAGATCTTCCTCTATCGCTCCTCTGTATAGCTTCGCAAGTTCGGACGTTAGCTGGCTATTGCCTGCAGCTCGCGTGATTCCACACCGGCGTATCAACTCAAGAGTCTTCAAAGAGACACGTTTCTTGACATCCTTGAGACTCTCAGCTTTCCTGGCGCAATCGTGAAGATGTTCGACGAGCCGGTCGTATCTTTCATCGATGTTGTCGCTGACGGAACCTTCCCATAAACTCGCCAATAAAGCGAATTTAACAAGAGATTTGGGACTTAGTTTCCTAAATTTCGCAGCTCTCCCTCCACGCGTTGAAAAGCGGAAACTAGCGCGAAGGAGACGATGGTCTGATCCTGCGTAGAACTACGGAACACCAGCGACGTCTATCAGGCAAAACTTTCGATTGACGATGACGTGATCTATTTTATTATGGAGCGGCAGGTGACTTCCATGTTCATCTGGAATGAGAGGGCTTCTGGAACTGCGAGCTATCATGAATAGTATGGGTCGACATGGTAAACTCGGACAGCCTTTCACCCTGCACATTCCATTCCATTCCGTGAGTCCCGTTATGGAGCTCTTCAGCCGTTCTTCTGGGACCAATCTTGGCGTTGAAATCACCCACGAAGACCTTGAAATAAACATGCTGTCCTCTGTACAACCTCTAAAGATCCATATAGCACGTCTCCAAGTCCTCTTCTTCGTAGCTCGATGTTGGTGCGTAAAAAACGAAGATTGTTAGAGCTGGGGTTGAGCAATATCTTCTCAATCGTGAGCGTCCGATTCGGGTTGTCGAGCTTTCGTAAGAGTCCATGTTCATGGCCAAGTGCGTGTTGGTGCACCCACGCCGCCGACGCCTTACTGTCGCATGTTCCACGGAACAGTTCTTCTCCAGTCTCAAATGCAGCGTGCAGCGGGCGATGCCTTCTCGTCTCGGTCAGTCCGATGACGTCTACTTGATCTTCCTAGCTTGCATCATCAGATCTTCGATGCACGCTTCCGATGCAAGCGTTCATGGATTGAAAGTATAGTTTGCCATCTTAGTCCTTTTCCTTTTAGGCAACCTGTCGTGGCCCTTAGATTTTAGCAGCCTCTACTGAGCGGTCCTACCCAACGCCGTCGTATCTGGAGCTCCCTCAACTTCAGGGGAATGAAGCCCATTTTTGTTACTGTTTTTGACATATGAGTAATCACGTGTAGCTTGCCAGGGTCTGACACGTGGGGGCTCACTATTAGCCGTATAGACATGCAGACGTGCCATTAAGTTATATGTATATATTTTTTTAACATACAATTATGATTGAAAAGGATAATGGAAGCTCCAAGCAAAATTCTATGGAACAGTAGAAAAGCGTTGGCGAGAGCTTTCGGATCATAGCCGACATCTGTACGTAATGTAATGTAACGTAATGTACCGAGGCTTGCTGTCTGAAAACTCAACGCGTAAAGAATGAATCTATCCGCGACCTCGAGCGGACGCAAGAGGGGGACTCAAGCAAAGGGGCCGCCATCCCTTTAAAACCGATGAAAAGGAGTATCAAGAGCTTTGAAAATGCACATGAAAAACGACGAGAACCATTTCGACGAATAAAGCTCAGAGATAGTAGCATTTCGAAAAATCGTTAGCAACTCAAATAGGTAGTAGATGAATGGATTGCGTCGCGCCGCTCTTCATTTTGGAGCAATGACATCAGTGCACTGCACGGTTGATGGAGAGGTATTGCGGCTAGGAAGGGCCACTTTTTTGCTCACTGATCTAAGTTTATTGCTGTAGTTACTTTGTGTTGAAAAACCCGATTGATTTTTCTCTAAACGTTAATATATCATGAAAGGGTTAACAATGATGCATTCATGAAAAACAGGGGAAAAGGCGCAGACCGTGCAGTCCTTAGATAATACCTACATATATTACATCCCATCAAGAATTCGATCATGCCTGGTAACGGGTAGATGGGCTTCTGAAATGAACATTGACGAAAGACACATCCTAGGGAGATTGCTTTTCTATCGTTAAAAACAACTCTCCGAAGGTCAGCTCTTCCGGTTTTGTCGATCTGGCTATTATCATTAATGTCTTGCTTTGCCAAAAACACGTTATTTCAAGTCTCTAATAGTTTTCGAACGGCGAATTCTAATTTTGCAGATATGGCCACAAACTTTTCTCGTCTTCCTCCACTACCACCATTGCGTGAATTCATCCACATGTATCGTCTGCAGGCTAAGAAAATCTTATCACAAAATTATCTTATGGATATGAATCTTACGAGAAAGGTAAATTGCCCTTGAATTTCAAGGATCTCAATACGCCTCCTTCCTGTACACTGTTTCTGTCTAACACATGGACTGAAGGGAGGAAAAACGGTCATTCTCTTGTACTAAGCTGAGCTTTCATTTATTCAGTGGCATATTAGTTCGAGTAATTGCCTCCTTAGAGGCTTTAAATCGACTCGTAGTGATCTGCAGACCATCCAATAAGCGTTCAGTCCCGTCTAACAAATCGAGGCGAGTCCGGAACACTGCTTCTAGAACTATCCACTTTGTGGACGACTCAACAGTATTCCACATTGAAGTGGAAATAATACGCTGTCGCCAAATCAGATGAGAGGGGATTAGGCGCTCCTTGGATGGTGTGTAGATCATCTTTAGTTGTGCTTAAGTCACGGAGAAGGCGGCGACGTCGATAACGTTAGCTCGTTTAATTGATGAAAAGTTCCACCTAAAAACCTTCCACAGCACAAGAATATAGTCGTCAAAAGAACTGTGCCGAGATTTAAACAAGAGGGAAATTAGAGCCTAACGTGATTTCTCTCAATCAGCAATGTCTTTCTGCTCAAGAGGAATTCGAAATTATTAGCACTCCCAGTAATTTTATTAAAACTGTTAGTCTATCTTCAGATCGTGCGAGCAGCAGGCGTTCAACCAGGTGATTGGGTCTGCGAAGTGGGGCCTGGTCCAGGTGGTATAACTCGTGCAATATTAGAAGCCGATTGTGAACGATTGGATGTTGTGGAGATAGACCACCGCTTCATACCGCCATTAGAGGTTCAAGCAAATTTTTATTCATCTTGGCACTGGTCTCGCCTTTCTTATTTCTCGACTTTCTTAGCTGCTCGCTGAAACCTCAAACAATCGCCTTCGTATTCATCGTGCTGATGTTTTGAAGACTAATATTGGTGACCTCTGGGGTGTTGCCGGTTCTCGAAAGAGTTCAGACTGGACAGGTGGTCTTCCCGCTTTGCATATCGTTGGTAATCTTCCATTCAATATCGCCTCGCCACTGATAATCAGGTAAATTTTTGAGGGCTACTCATTTCCATCATACCAATTCTAGTAAGTGAAGAGGTGTTTCTGGTAGCCACTGGGCCTACAAGCAGCTAATTGTATATGAATGTCAGTTGGGTTCAACTCGTAAATACATCCGAAACTAGTGCTTGACCTCTCTCATTGTTCTCTGTTATCTCTAAAAACAGATAATGAGCATTTGTATGAAAATCAGGTGTGTCATCTATCAAAGGTGGTTCAGGATTTCAGGACCGTTATTAATTTAGGTCTTTGAAAGAAATATCGTATCGGCAAGGTGCTTGGCGATTTGGAAGGGTTCCGTTAACGTTGACGTTTCAAATGGAAGTTGCACAGAGAATTTGCAGTCCCATTGATTGCGAGTCTAGGTCAAGAATATCGATAATGGCACAGTACCTGACTGAACCGAAGCTCATGTTCAGGATTCCCGGTCGGTATATTCCTGAAATCTTCACATCTTCAATCATGATGATTTTTTGAAATAATGGTTTTCTGGAAAAACTTCAATTTCATTTAAGGATCGTGCTTTGTTCCTCAACCAGACATCGATGTTGGTATAGTACGTTTTGTTCCGCGAACTCAGCCTTTAATCAGCGCTCCTTTCGAGGTATAGTATTACCTTGATTCGGTGATGAAGTGCTCTTGTGTATCAGTTCCGGAGAACTAATTGCTCTGTCTAGGTCGTCGAAAAGTTGTGCCGACAGGTCTTCCATTACCGCCAAAAATTCATAATCAAAGGTCTAAAAACATTATATCCAAAAGAGGTTCGTTGACTTTCTTGTTGTAAAGCTTCTAGTTGCGCAACTCTTCTTCCCTATAGCCCAACTTATTTATCTACAAACAACGATAACAGTAGTTGTGATGGTGTTTCTGTGATTTGCAGGTAGCCGACGATATGGCTAATCAGTTGCTGAAGGATTGTCGCGTCAATCCAAAAGCCTCATCAATCCAACTCGGCATTGAAGAGTATGCTGATTTGGCCGCTGGATATGAAAGGCAATGTAGGAGGTGAGCCTATCGTTCCAGTAATACTTCTTTTGGGTTGCTTATTAATGTTCAGTATTTTTTGAAATCAATCGATATGTGACCAATGAGAATACACGGCGCCCTAAATGGAGTGGCTTGCTGCCCTGCGGTCAAGTCCGAAATGTCGTCTTATAAATCATACTCCTGATTTAGATGTTATGTTCTTCTGGCTTCAGTTTTCATGAGCAGTTTGTTGAGCTTTTCTCTCAAAGAATCTTTGTTGAACTTTCCTATAAAGAATCGAAAATCTAGGTATGGGTGCTGAGTTTGAGAGGTGTGGCTCGGGAGGATGGGTGGTCATTTTGAATCCTAATTATGCAGTTTGACAGAATGAAAGCGCAATTGAGTTGCTCACGCCAAATGCATGTGCTGAAGCACACCGAGTTGTAACTGAAGATTAGTGTTAACGCTTCTTCTCGGTTTTGCTTCCTGAAGTACTCCTCACATTCCACATAGAAGTGCCCAAGAAGTCAGTACAGTGGCGTCGTACTGGAAGCATTGATGCCGTCCTTTCACCGGTTGACCAGTCTAGAAGTCGTTTTTATTCCAATGATAATGGATCTTTTAGCGCTGAAAGAATTGATTACACCAGAAGCAACAGATCAGACAATAGATGGCCTCAATTCCGTGAACGTAGTACGACCACACGCCCCCTTCCACTATTTTCGTCGTGTTATCTGGAGGTGTAATTGATAGCACAAACTCTCCTGAAGTTTTCGTTTTCAGCATGCCTGGATTGATTCTGTACGACAGCGTGAGACCAAAGTATACTATTGAGATGCTGTCTGGAGAACCAGGAGCTATTCCTCCAGTAAACCCATTCCGTCTCGAGAAGGTGCCGTCGGAAGGCGTACGACTATCAGATGCTGACAGATTTTTGAGTTAGCTGCAATACTAAGATATACCACTTGGTCCTCCTGAAATGTACTAACTGATCTCTTGTCGGTAGGAATTGCCCTTATAGATTTTGAACCCAGGGCCTGATTACGGATGGCTCGAAAGGTAGTTTTGTGGTTCCGTGGTTATCCTTAGATGTCTACTCTGCTTTCTCATACTCAGAAAGTGTAACTCAGAAAGTTCATCGTTTTTGTCATTCAGCAGTAGTAAGAAGCGNAATACTCTAGAAATTTACAATATTTAGACTTCAATTGTCGAAGTCTTTTTCCCAGAAATAGATGTCTGTTTCGCATTCGAAGGTTCTTAATACTACAAGGGCAGACACTACTGTTTGTTGATCGAATTTACATCTTAAATTGCAGCGAATTGGGGCAATCAATGAAGAAGAAAGAGACGAATGGGTACAGAATGGGGCAGTGGGAACAATGGCGTATGACGCTAAACCGCATGGAAATGAATTTTCAGTATGAACAAAAGCTTATCACCACTGAACCGAGTGAACACTGCAGAACTGGCGGGCATGGCAAAATTGTGTCCGGTCGCCCATCCACTCACTTTATAACAACACTTGCATTCATTTAAAGCAAATACCGAAATCCAGCGCGCGGTGTGTTCGAGAAAAGTGTCTTCACTCAATATTCTGTTATATATCGTCTTTCAATATCTGATTTGCGTTTTTGGCCTAGATCGTATAATACATAAATTTCGATCTACCTCAGTTTTTGACTAATATCCCATCAATGCTAACATTGTTAAAGTGCCGGAAATAACTTTTTGCATTTTCCACAAGAAATCTGTCCAAACTGGGAGCATCTGCGGCCACAATAGCACGGTAGTATTCCGTCCTATCAACTCATGTTTATCTCCCAAGAATTGGGATTATTTTGCAAGAAAGTGACCAGTAAGTGAGATTTTCAATTTCTTTCGAATTTCGAATGTTCATTAGAATAGCATGAGAATTGTGCAGAGTAAAGCAGTGTGGTTTGAGATATAGTTTATCATCCGCAAGCGCCAAAGTTTACTGCTCAAAATTGTGCAGTAAACTTTGGCGTTGTTTGTTGTTTATGTTGTTAGATTGTTCTACTTGGTTACTGGTAGTCATCTTTGTTTACTGGTTTACATAAACTTCATATTATGAGGATTTTTCGGAAATGAAATCTAAGTATTCGGATACGATGAATCAGAGCTTCTGATACGTCCACGATGAATCAAAGCTACTGATACGGCTACGATGGATACGAGCTACTGATACGGCTACGATGAATTAGAGCTACGGATAGCAGCTTTTTCCCCTTACAGAATAAAAAGAGAAAAATGTGAAGTGTCTGTTTATACTCAACATGCTCCGGTCAAGTTCCACTGTCTCAAGTCTCTTCTCATCTTACACTTTACCTCAGTGTCGTTGCTATCTATATGGAAAATAGGCATTCCTTTAGGGAATTTTCTGAATGACGCTCACTTGATCAGGTGAGAAGGTAGATGGAGGTGGGGGCACACAAAACAGTGCCTTTTTCCAAAGCAGTTTCTTAAAACTAACACGTTGACGACAATGTCGCGCAATGGTGCGCGACAGCCAGTCTGTCTCATGGGAAGATGTCGCGCAATGCTGCGCGACAGTGCATTCTTTGTTTAAAGTCTGTGTGCTCGTTCCGTTTTTTGTGCAGATTTTCAATTTGGGCTTATAAGTGTCCAGAATAGCGTCGGCCACCTATTAAATTAATTCCAAGATGAATAATACAAATACAAGACAGGATCAACCGCAGGAGCCATATCGTCGCCGTCTAAACCACCTGCAGCATCATCTTCGCTGTCGAGCAGCCAGTGGTCAAAAATTTCGTTGAGCCTTCCATTCATGATGACAAAAATAGTCGCATGGATAATAATACTCTCAGAGGTCCCATTTATATACCCCTAATTCAAATTTATCACCGCCAAAATTGAAATTATCTCGAGTAATCAAATCTTGAGCAAAATTTGAATACTGCTGGAATGACTGCGGATTTCAAATGTTCTTGAATGTAATCACTCATTTTTACGAGAAATAACAATTTACAGGAAGGAAGCTGTGTCGTCCCACGGGACAGACACGAAAAAATTGGCTCGTCGTCAACGTGTTAAGCCTCAGGAGGGAAGGAGCGCTGAGATGGGTGCGTTGTTAGCTTTTCGTACCCGGTAGTCATATCACCCACCCCGGTGGTCCCACTCTTCCGAGGCTTAGTTAAAAACCACATCCTCGTGGGTGAAACCTCGTAAGAGCGCACAGATGGCCGTAGTCCATCCTCCTCTTCATCTCCGATGCAGTGCTAGTACAGTGCGTTTCACAATTATAAGGTCACCATCGATTTTTGCGATTCTGGAGAAAGCAGCCAAAATGGAATTTTTTGGTAAACACAGGAAGATTCCTAATCACAATGTACCTCCATATTCAAATTTTGGTCGCAATATCCTTCACCTCGAATTTTTTTTTGAATTTTTTAAAGACAGTGTCGGCTTTTGCAGCGTTTCATAATTATAAGGTCACCCTGGGAAAGTAAATGATTTATTAACGTTGGTGGCATATGCACAACACTTGATATTCTATAGCTCCTCCTTGTTTAAGGGCAACATCAAAGAGTCTGCGTGGCATACTAGGAACTAGTTTTCGAAGATGTTCCTCATCGATTGCTCTCC